AATTAAACCATACATCCCCTCAAAAAAAGTTAGTAGCCAGCGCCTTCCGGTCACTTAAAAATAGATACACACAACGTGGGTATTTCTTATGACGATCACATATTTTTGGCCACAACTACGTTTACTTATTTTTTATCGAACCTAGGGTTGTTATACCACAAACTGGCAACATTAATAGTGCATTGATACAAGTTATTAGGCTAATTTCACCTACTGGTCTCGTAAACAACCCTGTATAGGTACCTCGGCAGTAACATTTTTAATCCGTATAAGTAATACGTATATATTTGATAATTTTAGAAATTTTAAATAATTTTCAATAATTCTTCAGCGTTGGGATTTGTTTCTAGGTCTTATAAGGAATGATTTCTATTGAGACCCCAATAATCCCTGTTTTATGGATTATCACTGACCCTTTGTATTAATAAGCAATTATTTCTTAAATATATATTTCTAATTTATTGACGATACATGTGGAAAAAATGGTTGACAACAACTGTCATAATTAAACAACGATAATTGAATTAGGAACATCACGGTGCACTACTACATTCGGAACAATTTCTGAAGGATTATCTTTTTTTCAATAAAATATTTAAAATTAATATTAAAGCCACTTACTTAGATAAGGCCTTTTCGTAGGTAATCAGAATTAACAATTTTGTTAAAATGTCCACTGGAATCCAATCAAAAGTGGAATTTTCTTCTCCATAAGGTGTTTTTAATATACCTAGAAATATAATATTAAACAGGTTTAGGTATTTTTTAATACGCTTTATTAATAAATATTTGCTTTTATTCAAAAATCGATGTAATTTCTCAAAGTATTAACCACCACAGATTGGAAATAATTTGATAAAAAATATTGTTTAAAGACCCCAATATTTTTTGAAAAATTATTTTCCTTTACAAAAAAAAAAATAGAAATAAAGGAAAATGATGTTAGTTAAAAAAATCCAAACAGGTTTAGGTATTTTTTAATACGCTTTATTAATAAATATTTGCTTTTATTCAAATATCGATGTAATTTCTCAAAGTATTAACCACCACAGATTGGAAATAATATGATAAAAAAAATATAATATATTTGGCCCGCTATTGTTTTGTTTCATTCAATTCACGTCCATTGTTTAAAGACATACCAATATTTTTTGAAAAATTATTTACTTTTACATAAAAAAAAAGAAATAAGGGAAAACGGTGTTAGTTAAAGAAATCCAAACAAATAAAAAAATTTCGTTTGATCAAATCTTGACATTAATCATAGTAATGTTAAATATAATTTTCTATTCACCTTTTCCTCCACCACAGAGCAGACCTACTGGGCCATTGAAGTTTTCAATCCAGCCAGGAATTGGTTCGTCTAAAGACGGAACAACTGGAATTTAAACATCAGTGATAAAAGTTTCAAGCAACATAACTTTTGTAGTGTTGATAATATAAGGTACGTTCCAAAACAAACAGGACTTTTCAAAAATAGAATTTCTAGTAAGGCCATTTATTGCAGTTACATGCGTTAGAAAGGTAGATCCTTCATTGATGTACTATCAAAATTTCATGACATTTGGATTAATGGAGCGTCTGAAATGATGTTTGTGTCATTGTCATCGGTACAAAAATGACAATATTTTAAACTTAGTAAAACCGATTAATCAACCAAGATTATGGTAATCTATGTGCATCTCGTCGCAGAGTTTATGAGTGGTATGTGGGTTTAAAAACGGCCTTGAAGACATAAATGATGAGCAACATATGGCCAACCGAATTCGGTACCACGGCAGATTTCATAAAAAATGTGCATGAATTCATCAAAAGTCAGCCAAAATCTCCATAGAAATTTATGGAATTAGAAGTGCGCATCTCTAAAACATCAATTTATCCCATTTTGACCGAACATTTGGGCTACCGAAAAGTGTGGGCATGGTTTGTTCCGCACAAATTAACTGACGGCCGAAAATTGCTCAGAATTCAACATTCGAAGTACATCATCAAGGGTGTCAAAAAGGAGAAAAACTTCCTTTACAACATTGTGACTGGTGTTGAATCTTGGTATTTTCAATATAATCCTGAAACTAAGCGCCAACGTGTAGAATGGAAGGCGTCAAAATTAAAAAAATATAGTTTGGAGAAGTCAAAAGTGAAGATAATGTCGATTTGCTTTTACGATTCCAATAGGTTATTGAATATATCCAAAAAAAAACAGGGTTAAAAGGAAAATAGGCATTTTTACTAGCATTAAGTGCCTGACTCTGTATATACGTGGCATATTATGTGCATATCATGTAGAACGTGACTCCTTCAACTTTTAGAATCGCGATATCTCAGGAATGGTGACTCTTAGAAAAAAAGGTATAAGAGCCATTTTTGTAGATAATTTTCAGGTATATAATTTTCGTCAGAGGTACTTCTTTGATAAAACTTACCGTTTTAGAAAAAAATCCAAAAATCTCAAATTTTGACTTTTGACCCCGATTAACTTTTTTAGCACACATGGGATCGGTGGGGACTTTTGACACTTTATTTCTAATGGTATACCCAAGGTCTGCACCAAAATTTAGCTCTGTCGGAATTTTCGTTATTTGACCACTATTTTTATGGCTAATTTAACCGGACTATAGCTACTTCCCACATCAAAAATTGAAATTTTGATTTTAAAATTTTTGGGACATTATTTGAGGCTATAAACAGATTTGTTATAAAAAAATGTTTTGTATATGATGAAAATCCTTGAAAGTCTTATTTCCTTCCTTTTTGCAAAAAATGAGAATTAAAATGTATAAGGGTAAACGCGACGAAAATCGAAAAATTGGCTAAGTTTGAGCGGCCATATATCAGTCAATTTTCATCCAAAAATACTTTACAACCTCTTGTTTTGAAGGAAATTTTATCTACTTTTTTTTCCATGAAGCAATGCCCATACCTATCTTTATTAAAAAAAAAACTAGAAGCAAAAATGTAAAAAAAAACAGAAAATCGAATGTTTTTCTTTTTTTCAGATTGTTTATTATCGATTTTTTTGCATAAAATATTCCTTTTAAATTTTTTAAATAAGCTATTTCCATGGGAAATTCAATTCTCTAAATAATTTTTCCTATGAACTACAGCGAAATTCTGCTTCGTTTTCGAGCTACAATTAAAAGCCTGAAAGGGGTGCATTTTCACCCCTATCTAAAATTTCCACCCCCTAATCTAATAGTACTCCGCAGTTTTTTCATCTCAAATAACCATTTGAGCGATTCATGTAATAAAATATCTTGAGCGTCATAGTTCCTTTTAAAATCCTCTATTCAATAGCCTACAAGACCATTGTCCACAAAGAGTTCGTTCCACCGGACCAAACAATTAATGCACAATTCTATCTTGGCGTTTTGAAGCGTTTGGTACATCATATATTCATCATATTCGGCCAGAATATCGCGCACAAGCAAGTTGGCGTTTGTTGTGCAATAATGCGCCATCTTATCGGTCGACACTTGTTACCGATTTTTTTCATTTAAAATGGCATTTTACCTGTCAACAATTTCCCGTATTCGCCTAATTTCGGCCGGCAATCTAAAACATTCGACATGCTTTTAGACCATGCCAATCGCTGTATTGAATCGGAAGAGGACTATTGTGAATAGAATAAATCGGTTTTGCCAAAAAACTTTTTGTTGGTCTTGTTTCTAAAAAGTCCTCTTTAGTTTGGAACGTACCTTGTATACAGAATAGTAACAATAGTATACCGTAATTTTGGCCTAGATAATATGTTTTCCTACACGTAGATAAAAAGTTACATTTTTCATGATTTTCAATTTTATTATTTTATTATTAATTAATATTTTGTGAAACAAAAATTTTAAAAAAGGTCGATCACTGAATTTAAGATGCTGCTAACAATTGGTTACTGCAACCGATATTATTTAACAAAAAATTCAGGGTGTCCCAGTGTCAGTGTACAAAAATTTACCAGAGAGTAGACCAGTCCAAAATAAGGTTAAAATTCTTATAAAATGTTTTTCTACGATGCACTCACACTGAGTTACAGGGTATTGTTTAGAAAAAAATAACAACTTTTCGCAATAACTCAAAAACCCTTTAAGAGATTTAAGTAATTTTTGGGTGAAGTGTTCATCTATTAAAGGTCCTTAAAATTACATGGTGCTTATTTCGATCTGACGCCAGGGGCGGCCTAGGCCAACTTGTCCTCATGGTTATGTTTTCATAACTTTCCATATCCTAGTTTTATGTAATTTGATAGTTTCCCTGAATCTGCTATCGATTCTGAACAAAAAATGTGCTCTTGTTTCATAGATAAAAAATGAACCGTTTTCGAGAAAATTGGATCTAAATTATCGACTGCATTAATTCGTAGAAAAATGCAGGTAATGATTTTATTTGTTGTTATCTAGTTGGTACCTGTCATTATAAAAAAACAAGTTATTTACCGTTGAGCTACAGTTTCCCAGGTAGCTGCGGCTCAATGAATATGAAGAGACTAAACAAGGTTTCTATTATTATTTAATATTTTGTTAGGTCTAGGGGAACAAAAAATAAAATTGAAAATTATACTGGGTGATTCAGTCATTATGTCATTAATTTTAAGAGCAGATAGAGAAAAATGAGTATCATACGATGGCGTGATGAAAAAAAATATTAAATGCATATTTAAGCAGGAAAATAATGTTTTCAAATCATTATTTAATCCCCTTTTCAGGCTGTTACTGACCGGCTGACGTCAGCCGGTTATTCACAATTTGCGCACGGCTACGATATGAACAACGCGCCCTAGATTGCGTTGCCATATTTATATATTTTCGCTCATATAAAGACAATAAATAAACGTCAGCCAATAATAATTTAAAATGCTATAAATTATTTTTTATAATTATGCAATCAACACATTAAATTGTTATTGTTGCCCAGCAACCGTCTATCCACAAGTGTACACGTTGGATAGATGAGCGGCAGATGCGATGGAATAAATCAGGGTTGTTACATATTTCTTCAGCGGCATCTTCGATACGATTCCGCAACTGCTCTACATTCTCCTCGATGTGATACACGACAGATTACATATAACCCCATATACAAAAGTCCATAGGATTATGGGCCATTATCTCCCTATCCACCGATTGGGACATTGATCGTCTAAAAATCCACGGACATCGTAAGCAAAATGGGCCGGAGCTCCGTCGTGCATATACCACATATCCCGTAGCATCTAAAGGGGAAGGTTTTCAAACACTTCTACTAAAAATTGAAAGTAACGCGGCCCATTCAGATGTTCAGGTAGAAAAAACGGCCCAATTAAACGATTGCCATATACTTCTGCCCATACATTGACACCGAATCTCCTCTAAAAGCTAAACCGACGGGTAGTGTGCGGATTTTCATCTGACCAAATGTGACTATTATGGCTGCAAAGAAATTAGCTCTGTTTCACTTTAAATAAAATTTAATATTGAAGTTACAAAACTCCAAGAGTTCAAATAATTTAAATTTAATTTCATAACCATTTCAGTTTCATTACAAAAATAATGGCATAAAAAACTAACACTCATAGATAAATTATAAAGAGAGGATGAAATGTATGTAGTATTTAAATATTGACTGTAAGTAATAGAAGGTAAAAACACAAACGGACGGAGACAAATAAACAACTCGGTACGTGTTTCCGACCTAGGCTAACCTGTATCTAGGTCAATAACCTTCTATCTGACCCACTTTTGATTTCCACGTGTACTATAGTCTAGCAGCCAGATAGGGTGCCGTGGCCAACCAGAGTGCCACAGCTGCAAACAACTTATTTGTAGTATTTTGAGCCCCTGAATCCAAAAAACTTGGTCGCAAAGACTGAAAGTGATCAGTTTAATTATTATCAACAAATTAAATGTTTAAATGGCCGTAAAAGTTTATTTTTATAGCTAGTAAACGGAACCTTATCTGGCTCCTAGACTAATACGAACTGTAGTAGGATCGTATTCCATGCAAAGTAGAGCAAAAAGGTGTCGGTCTTTTATTAAAGGAAAATTGAATGTAATGAATAAGGATGATTGTTTTCGAATGTATGGTTATTACAATTTATCATTTTTAATATTATTAACATTTTAACGTTTTATAATTTATTACGTTAAATAATACACAGTTTTAGTATTTCAATTTATTATTCAATATGCAGTTGCGTATAACCAAAGTTTACATAATAAATGTAAACTTTAGTGTAAATATAATCTTTGGTGTAACCTAGGTAGGTACTTACTGTTTTTGAGAAAGCAATATGTTTTTTACCTGTTTAAAATGCCAGTACGAGTAAAGCAGCGTTCATCCGTTCAGCGGACTTTGTTTTAAAAATAAAAATAAAGTTAGGGTCTGCTGCACTTTGTTTAGGAACCAACTGCAAAATTCAAGACGATTGGGGAAATCAGCTGGTTTTAAAGCTTGAACTTTTTGAAAATGGTATGGGCTGAGCCAATTCTCGCGCAATATCCGCCAAACTTTGGTTTGTGATATCTCCAGTCGCCTTGAAATTGTTCTTGTGGAAATAGTAGGCTGCTCCTCGAGTAAATTTAAAACAGCTTCTATCGCATTTAAGTCATTTTGTCGATGTCCTGTGCGTTCGCTGCACGGTATGGTATGATAGATGCAGTTGGAAAAATACGGGAGATATGGAAGAGGGTAGATTTGAATAAACGCTTTAATTGTTAATGGTTTTGTAACCGTGTGTAGTGTGTATTTTGTATATTCTGGTATTTAGTAATGTGCCAACATTTTTTTATTTGATATTCTTTTAACAAAAATTGACTTCGATAAGTCAGGCTTGTTAAAACATTCTGCACTAAGTTAATAAAATTGTTAAAATTATTTATAATAAAATGTAGCACACTCCTTTATTTACTTGAATACGTTTAACGCGGAACGCGGAACCTGTAGTAAATGTGTATCACACATTATGATGTGAACTTGGCAACGCTGTTCGCTTCAGCTGACAATTGTTCGTGACATTACGTTACAAAATTTTCCGAGCATCCGGGCATCTGCCAGGGCCGCCCTCGTAGCGAGAGTTATGGGTTGATTTCCTTCATTTTTAAAAGTCGAGTAAAACATTTTTTTCCAATTTTCTGTCTTTATTAAGCCTTCCGAATACGTGGTTAAAATTAATGACATTATGACTGAATCACCCTGTAGAACAGAAACGAAATTATGTTAGCAAAATGATAATATTAAAAATAAAAATAGAAAACAATTATTTCAATAAATGCTCGAAATGCTGCCCATTTACTTCAATGCATGCCCGACATCGTTTGACCAGGAATTGTAAACCCTTCGCAAATCTACGGTTGCTGCTTTAATTTTTTGAAGTAAATCGTCTCTCACGTTACTGAGTTTGGTATACACCGGTTGCTTCATATGACAGTAAAAAAATCAAGCGGGTTGAGGTCAGGGAACCTGGGAGGCCACATAATAGGTCCATTTTTCCCAATCTAGCGTTCTGGAAAATGTTAATCGAGTCACGCAGATACCTGTCTTCCGTTACAAGTAGGTGCTTCATCTTGTTGGTGGTATATTCGATTTCGTAAAGCTAAGGGAACGTCATCTAGTACGCCATCAATAATATTTTCTAAAAACTCCGTGTACTCTATGAATTTAAACGGTCTGAGGAGGTAGAATGATCCCGTTGAAGATACCTCCCCATACATTTATGGAGAATCTTCTTTGAAACGCGGAGGGTCATATCACATGCGGATTTTCAATGGACCAGACACGAACATTTTTAAAATTATTTATACAATATTTCGTAAAGATAGTTTCATCGCTCCACAATATCTTTTAATGGAAATTTTCGTCATTATGGATATTTTCCAACAACCGCCTGCAAAATTGTATCCCATTTTCGGAATCACCAGGATGCAAAGTTTGTACTTTATGTAGGTGGTAGGGGTGCAGTTCTTCTCGGTTTGAAATTCTCCAGACGTTGCTTCGTGTTCACTTGCCTTGATATTCTTCGGGCACTGGTGGAAGGATAATCAACAACAGCGTCTATTATATTTTCTTCTAAAATGTTTACATCTTCCAAATTACCTCTTATTCTGGTATTTCCAATTTTAACACTCCCGGTCGCACGGACTCTTTGGATAACTCGTTGCAATACGTGCTGTGAAGGTTGCCTTATGTTTTTAAACTTGCGTAGATATTCTCGTGAAGCCGCCAATGAATTTCCATCGCAGAAACCGTAGATCGGCATACTCGTTGGAAAATTCCATAATACTCAATATCTTGTTGTTTTGGAAATTTCTCGTAACTTCGAGTAGGTATTGTAATTAATTTTGACATGTACGCTTGTAAACATCTTTATTTTTATAATGACAGATAGGTACCTACCTACTAGATGGCAACAAATAAAATCTTTATATGCATTGTTTACGAATTAATGCAGTCGATACTTTAGACTCAATTTACTCGAAAACGGTTCATTTTTGAACTATGGAACAAAAGCACATTTTTGTTCAGAATCAATTGCAGATCCAGGAAAACTTAATCAAATTACATAAAACTAGGATATGCAAAAGTTATGAAGACATAAACTTGTGGACAAATTGGCCTAGGCCACCCTTGGCGTCAGATCGAAATAAGACCATGTAGTTTTAATGACTTTTAATTGATGTACACTTCTCCCAAAAATTACTTAAATCCCTGAAATAGTATTTGAGTTATTGCGGAAAGTTGTTATTATTTTTTTCAAAACAACTCAGTGTGAGTGCATCATAGAAAAACATTTTATAAGGATTTTAATCTTATTTTGGTCTGGTCTACCCCCTGGTCAATTTTTGTATGGTGACACTGGGACACCCTGTATAATTGATTTTCCTCACAAAGACAAATATTTGATAGAAAAATAATATTTAAATTGTTGTAAAATATATCAAATTAATAAAAATACAATAAATAACTATCTTAAAACTTTTTCTTTTCTATCAAAACAGTTGAATTTTAAATTTCAGTTTTCTGGATTTACTTACCAATTGAAGGCCTTACAATGGTTGCAAGTAGTTTGCCTTTGCACAAATCGTTAACGACATGTTCAGATAAAGATTTTGCAAATGTGTAAGTATTTGGTAAAGGATAAATATATTTCGGTGACAAAATACTTAAAATGTGTGGATCAACTTGTTCCGCCAATGTTATGGTACTTTTCCAATCGGCATGTGCTGGATATAATTTTTCCTCTATTTCGAATCTATCGCAATTGCAATATGAAGTAGATATATGCACAAACGTTACTAACTTTCTTGCTTGCAATGCTATGTCTACTACTTCTTTAGTTCCCCTTGTATTCAGCAGTATACTATCTGTCAGATGGTCATCGAATCTTATTGAAGCTGCTCCATGGTAGATGATGTCCACGTTTTCAATAAGAGTTTGGGTGTCTTCTTCGGTTAAACCTAAAAATTTATATATTTCTACATTTAACGAAGATGGAAATCAGATATTTATTATTCGATTTGTCCACTGTCTTTTTTTAAATCCTGAATTTCTGTTTTGTATCGTGTTAACTCTCGTGAAATTACGAAATTTATTATGTTAAGTTTACCATACGTTGCCACGTTGACAAGACACTGAACTAAAATCATTAAAATTAATCGATCGTCAGTTGATAGACATTTGACCATTTTTACATGAATAGGTAAGACTTAAAAAGGAAGTCATCCTGGATGAAACATTGATCATGGCGGCTCAATGTAATGGCTATAAGCTAAAAAAACATTGTCAAATTTTATGAAAATGTAATTATTAATAGTATTTGAGTTTAAAAAGCTTAAAAAATGGACAAAATCGCTAAATAAAGTAAGTGTTAAGGACACCAACGATAATTTTTTTAAATTGGTAACATGGCGGATCCAATATTTCGTATAAAATTTAAAAATATCCCATAAAATGAGCAATTTTGCCATGTTTATAGTAAATTACCACTCTTCATTGCTGAACTACATTTGCTGATGCATAAAAATTCAGTGCAAATTTGAAAATAATTAAAATAATGACAGTTTGGGATTAATATGAGCGTGGCATAAAACAGCAATGTGTTTTACACAGATTTAAATCCATTGAAAATCATAAGTAAGTCATGTAAGCTCAGATGGATGATATAATTATAATAATGCGTCATCTAAAATTGTACGTACCAAGTTTGGGTTTGGCTATATCTCCACATATGGGTACTAATTTCTTAATAGCTTCGGGATTAATGTTCTTTAAAGTATCGAACAACTAGAAAATAACAAACATCGAACAATACCAATAAATTCAGTCATGATCGGTGAGGATTATCTTACAAAAAAGTAGGCCAATGTTGTGATTGGTGCATACAAATGTACTGTACACTGTTTCAACCCTGGATAGTGGTATATCGTTTATTTTATATTCCTATAATACAGGGTTCTTTTTTTTTGGCATACGTTATAGTAAGACATTTTTTTATATCGAAATGTAACAAATTATCACATGTCCATTGATATATTTTATATAAGTTGTTTTGAAGTAATATTATATTGAATTAAATAGATTAGAACCCTGAGGGACGCCGGATAAAACAATGGAATGATTGAATGGATAACCACATATGGAGACATTATTATTATTATTTCCTATTTTGCGAATAATGTTATACAGTTTGTGGCGTGTATAATCTATAAAAATTAAACTACAGCTTCCTAACGATATTTGTAATAGAGAAGTCTTATACGAAAAAGTTCTGTTTTTGCGTTTTGTTTTCGTAAATTAAAGTTTAATTATGGATGGAAAATATTTTCTCTGTAACGCTCCTTTCCGTGTGCTGTACGGTCAGTTATGTGCTGTAGACCAGCCGCGTAAACAAATCGTTGTTGAAAGACAGAAAGATACTTCTCAATTTTTGGGGAATTTTTCAATGCAAAAGTACAAACCAAGAAAAATAGATGTTTAAAAAAACTGATATTTTCTTATTATAATAATAAATTAATGGCAATTACTATCTTAAATGCATTGTTGTTATTGCAAGAGTTCGCAAACAAAACCACATCTGTAAGCATCTGTAGTTGCCAACTGCGTGCACTAAACAAACTCCATTAAGATATGGAACAAAATGAAATAAAACTTACCATTTCTAGAGAAAATGTTGAAATTGATCCCCATTATCGCGGATACAGGCATGGCACTGACGCACCAAATTTTGGCCAAATATTTTCCCAAATTCGGGTATTCCTCTAATTGTGTCAGCAGCTTCAAGTATACGGTTTCGCAATCAGGAACCGGTTCTCCAAAAAGTCAGCATATGTTGGTCCATTTAGTCGTTCCTCAAATAAATAGGGACCCACAAGTACATCGCCTATTATGACAGTCAAAACATTTACCTAGAACCGAGGTTGAAAATGAGTTTCTCTAATCGCGTGGGGATTTTCATTGGCCCATATGTGCATATTATGGAAATTCACTTCATCACGGGTAAATGTCGCCTCATCTATTACACAAAAATAAGCAGGAAAGTCTACTTGATTGGCACATTGCCGTAAAAACCATCTGCAAAAACGCATTCGTTGATCACAATCCGGGGGTAAAATCTGTTGAACTGGTTGCATATGATAGGGGTGCAACACCTGGCGCCCCCTTAAGATGCGATGTACGGTACGAGGTGAGGTTCCTACTTGCTGTGCTAGTTGTCGAGTACTAATTATGGGGTCTTCGTCAAGATTTTCCAAGACTGCATCTTGAACATTAAGGTTCACTTGCTGACCACGTCCTTCTCCTCGAGGAATAACACTTTCTGTATCTCGCAGCTGCTGAACGCACTGCAGGATTGTATTTGCACATGGGGGGTGACGTTGTGGCCATCGATCCCGGTACAACCTAGTCGCCGGGAGCGCATTTTCTCCGGCTACACCATCCACTAACACCATATCCTTTTCCTCCATGTCCTTTTTAGGAACCTGGAGAAGGGCAGGGTAGATTTGGGACCTTCTGATGAAGATCAGGAGGGACCAAAATCTGTATTATCTGGTCAAATTCCAGGTAATACAAGCGAACATTCAGCACAGTAGAGCGGCATCTGCTGCTCTCTGTGCCAGTGTGGCGCGCGTAAATGCGGATTTAGCTTTGATCCAGGAGCCTTGGGTACATGGATCCCGGATCAGAGGATTGCAGGTAAGTAATGGTGGCTTACTGTATTGTGGCCACCAAACTAGACCTAGAGCTTGTATTTATTACAAGAGTAGTATTAATATTTTTCCTCTTCCAGGGTTCTGCACGGATGACCTGGTGGCGGCCGAAGTGACTTATGTATCGGAGGGAACGCAGAGACAACTGGTAGTTTGCTCAGCGTACCTCCCTTACGATAAGAAAGAATCTCCTCCAACCAGGGAACTGAGGGACCTGGTGGCCTGGTGCGAGAAGGAGAAGAAACAACTCATCGTGGGATGTGATGCTAACTCACACCATACGGTGTGGGGAAGCAGCGATGTCAACGATCGAGGTGAGTCTTTACTAGATTTTCTTTTTAGTTATAATCTAGAGATTTTGAATGTCGGGAACGAGCCCACCTTTGTTATAAAAAATAGAAGTGAAGTCATCGATATAACAGTGGGATCGGGACCGATATGTAATAATATTGCGAGGTGGCATGTGTCGAATGAGCCGTCAATGTCGGATCATAGACATATCCACTTTGAAATTATAACGGATTATAATCCGCAAGTAAGAACCTACAGAGACCCAAAAAGAACTGACTGGGACTCCTATAGAACGGAGTTACAGGCCAGGACTAGGGAAATCTGTACAAAACTAAGGAACACATATGATCTTGAGAGGGCCGTGGAGGAACTCCAAAACGCCGTCACAAGATCATATGAA